ATATATAAATATTTGTTAAACATTTTCTTACTACATTTTCTGTACTCTTTAAATTAAAATTTTCCTTAACTGTTTTAAGATAAAAGAGCAAACTTTTTACTCTGCATAGCACACACCCATTCACTCTCTCTCCCTCTCTCTCTCACACACACCCACACACGCAGACACATGTCGCTTGAACAGGTAAAATATACCGTCACTTTATGCATGCTTTGGTATTAGTTACAAATGGGTGGTTTGGACAGTGGATTGGCTGGTCGGCTGACTGGCTGGTTGGCTGGTTGGCTGATTGGCTGGCGGATTGGCACATTAGACAACGGCTGAGAATGGGAGCGAGCCTCATTCAGAGTAGTATCTCTTTGCTCCAGATCATGAGGTCAACGTCTTCACTCACCTTGGCTACCGGCGCGACGCTGCTGGCATGCAATAGCGGCTCGCTCTCCCGGCAGTGGCCATAGCCCAGGCTGGAGGACGATGGCTGAAGCTGATTCATATGCTGATGCTGGTGATACAGATGATGCAGTGGGTGATGCTGGCCATGCTGGTTAAAGGGCAGCGCCGGCGGCGGCGCATAGCTGCGCAGCTGTTCGCGCCGCGGCACCATAAAGCAATCACCGCCCAGCACACCGACCACAGCAGCGCCATCAAGACTATTGGCATGATGTGGCCGCTGCGCTGGCGGCAATTGCTCCAGCTGCTGTTGCTGCTGCTGATGCTGCTGCAGCTGTTGATGCCTGCCACCGGTATTCGGATTCTCAATTATATTGAATTCGCGCAACATTACCGAAGGAATGGACTGGTTCTGGAGCTGGTGCTGGATCTGGTGCTGGTGCTGGATCTGGAGCTGGTGCTGGAGTTGGAGCTGTTGTTGTTGTTGCTGCTGCTGCTGTTGCTGCTGCTGCTGTTGTTGCTGTTGCTGTTGCACTGCCACAGTGAGTGTTGCTGGCGCCATATTTGTGGTCACATAATGCATCTCGCCATTGTGTCCATTCTCCCGGATATTGGGCAATCCCCCATTGGTCATGAAATTGGGCTGCTTCTGCAGCTTGCTGTTGAGCCGCTGCTGCTGCTGCTGATGCAGATGGTGGTGCTGTGTGGGTGGTGCGGGCAGCGGCTGTTGGTGCTGATGCTGCAGCAGCAGCTGCTGCTCCTCGCCGCCACACACATTATACAGATGGCCATTATCCTTCTTGCTGTAGGTGTCCGTATTGAGGCGATTCTCCTGGAACTGTGAGGCCTTCTGATAGTACTCGGCTGGATGCAGGCCACCGCCAGCATGTGACACCGACTGCGTATCATTCGCCGCCGACGTCCGGTTGCTGATCATAGCGTTGCGCACCTCGCCATTGAGCGCATTGCTGCTGCTGTCGCAGAGGAAATAGGTGACCATGTCGCCCTTGCCCTTCACCTTGATGGTGCCGCGACAGCGGAACTCAAAGTGCGAGCCAACCAAGCTGTCCACCACCTCCTGGGTGACCTGCGAGTAGCCGGGCACCCCGGTCGAGTCCATGCGGCTCGCCACATTCACCGTGTTGCCCCAGATATCGTACTGCGGCTTCCGGGCTCCAATCACGCCCGCCACAACGGGACCAATATTGATGCCTGTGCGGGAATGGGAATACGATTAGAGGGAGAGGTCTACTAGAGATGGTACTGGTGTTGGAATACCCACCCACGCGCAGCATAAAATTATTGTAGGAGTGACTGTTGATCTCCTGCAGGGAGAGCCGCATGGCCTTGACGTATTCGACCAGCGCCGTCATGTGACGCCGCACCGAGTTGGGATCGTTGGGCTGAATCTTGTACTCGGGTATGAGGCCGACCACAGCCATGTAGGTGCTGCCCACGGTCTTGATCTTGTCAATGCCCCGAAAGCGATCCTCCTTGAGCAGCTCATCAAAGTCCGCAATTATCTCGTTGAGCAGGCGCAAACACTCCAGCCCCTGATCCGAGCCATCCATCTCAGTATAGAACTCATTGAAGTTCGGCACACTGGCGAATATGACGCCCACCTTGGCGTAGCTCTGATGATAGAGCTCCTAAAATAAAGCAAACGGCGATTTGTGTGTCAGCGGGTCAGTCAGCGGGGTCTGCGCCGAGAGGGAGGGGGCGCTCTCTCAATTCTCTTACCATATTATTACGAAATTGCGCATCGAGAAAATGTGCAGCCACATGAGCGGGCAGCAAATTGTGCAAAATGCGCTTATTCGACTCCTGCAGCACATCCATTTCCTTCTTCTCCTGCGAGGCCTGCAGCTGCCAGAGGAAGTCCAGCCGGGCGGTGCCCTCCACCAGCCGTCCGTGCACCAATATCGCAATCATAAAGATGACAATGCGCGCCAATGAGATCAAGTGAAGCGGAATAGATGCTCTAAAATATTAGATTTAGATATATATACATATAAGAATCGATTGCATCTATATGTATATATTTGTGGGTCAATCGGATGACCCTAGAAGACCTACTTGACACGACTGTCGTAGCAATCAAAGATGTTCTGATGCGACAGCTCAATGAACAGGCCATAGATGGTGCCCATGCCCAGCACGAGCAGCGACTTGAATATAATCGGCAATCTGCAAGGAGCAAGGTCAGGTTGTTTAGAAGTACTCTGAGGCAGTCCCGGACGGCAGCTAGACTCACCTGAGAAACACGGATACGGAGAGAAAAGCAAAAGCCGCCGACAATGAGACGTACTGCGGCAAGGAGCACTTGCGATGGGAATCGTTCTGTTTGCTAATCAGCGGTGACATATCCAGTCCTTGCGAGTCCAGGGGCTGGACGTCCACATAGGTTCCATTATCCCAGCAGGGATGATCCGACACGCAGGTGAACTGCAGGTAAACAGGTTAAAAGAGCGGCTCACTTAATAACTCATCATTGGTTTCAGCTCGTTCCGCACTTACCACATTCACCTGGCCCACGGAATAGATGAGTATAATCGTGAATATTGTGATGGCCATTCGCAGCGAGAAGCTCTCGGATATGTCCCAGATGATCCACTTTAGGCGAACGGCCAGCAGGAGCATCAGTATGGCGCTGACCCAAATGAAGGCCGTGAGGAACAACAGCAGCAGGATGAGGGTGCGGGGTAATGCGGTCACCTGCAAGGCGGCGCCCAGTATTAGCAACAGCAGCGAGCAGCCCATGGCCGTGGTGAAGCCCAGATCGAAGTCCTTGTGATATTCGCGCTCCTTGTCGCTCTGCCGGAAGCGCAACGTCAATCGATCCACATGCTCCGACTTATCACAGTCCACGGAGCGGGCATTTATGGCCTGGGAGAGGAAGCGATTCACCCGATTCGTCGGCTGATGATGGGCGGCCACCGAGTGACGTTTGCGGAACGGCCGCTTGAACTTGTCCGCGACCTTCGACTGTGACTGTAGGGGAATAATGCAGGTAAGACAAAATGGGTACAGTTAGTGCTAATTGCTGATCTCGGTTGGCTCTGGGCTGGTAACTGGTAACTGGTAACTGGTAGCTGGTGGCTGGAGTGCTGGCTTGTTGGCTAGATCGAAGAGATCTGGTACAGTACCGAGTACAAGATGTTGTACACACTAAATGGGTCTAGGGCATGCAGTCGAGAGCAGAGCTGTGTAGCGGCATGCTGTGTGAGATTTGACGAAACTACCGCGACTGGGCGAAACATGACGAAACATGAGTGCGTCACGACTGGACATGCGGTAAATGTGTGTGAATGGCGGCCAATCGCTGATTTGAATTGATGTGAACGACTTAACGATGCTTGGCGAGACTTAACGAAACTTATCATGAACGAACGCTTAACGCATACATACATACATATGTAGAAAGCCCGCCCCAAGAGAGAGACTAGAAAGCAAGAACACTTACTACATAAACGATTAAAAAAAAAAAAAAAAACGAAATATTAAAGTTAAAGTTAATTGCAACAATCGAAATAAAAACTTAACGAATCGTACACTAATAAGTTAGCAAAACGGCACGTAACGCTTGAACATGAACGAACGTGTACAGTACAAGACACAGACAGCACAATAGTTAACGAAACACAAAACTGAACGAATGTGAACGAAAATTAAACATTTGTTTGCTTGCTGCTCTGCTCACTTTATTGTTCTTGTGATTGTGCCTATGTATGCGACTAATCGTACTCGCTGTTGAATTGGGACTTGTGCCTACGGTCACTTGAACACTGCCCGCCCCGCCGCCGCCGTCGCCGCTGCCGCCGCTGCCGACGACGCTGCCATAGCCGATGCCGTGCGGTGGCGGGGTAGCATGCAAGATTTTCTGTAGACGTATTACCTAGATCAGAGAAGTATACACAGTATTTCATATTGTATATATATATATATATAGTTTTATGTATATATATCTATGAATATATATAGTATGTAAGCGTATGTATATTTACTTATGTATTTAGAAGAGGAAAAAAAACAGATAAATTAAAATGATTGCATCAAATAAACGAGAAATCGAATAACGCCAACGATAACGATAACGATAGTTAAAAGTCATATAGGATTAAGTTAAATATAAATATAGATCAAGTTTGAGATATAGAAAGAGAGATCAAGGGTATAATTAGCTTAAAACAAAGGCCAAATGAAACGGGACAAAACAAACTTAACGAACGCGCAACTAAACTGTAAACCAGAAATCGGAAATCGGGAACTTCAACTGAAACTTTAATAGCAGATAGCAAAAGATAAGTTTAGAGTGTCAGTTTAGCGTTTAAGTGTTGTTATGCATACTAATTTTGATACAATATGTATATCGTTTAATTTGTTGCAATTATTATTCAAATCATTTCGGTTTTAGTGTGCCTATAGCTTTTGGTTTAATGTACTTAACTGATCTTCATTGTTCGATTGTGTCACGTGTGCCCTGTGTGCGTGTGTGTGTGTGTGTGTGTGGGTGTGCTTGTGTGTGTATTTAATCGTTTGCTGTTAGTGGGTATTACCAATAAGTCCAATAAGTACAATTCACTTCTGCTACTCTTTACACACAAAGTACGCACAACATCGACACAAACACAATAGACGAAGGTTTTCATTTTTATTTATACACGATAATTATTAAATTTTTGTGTTTTTTTAGATATATAGTTTTTGGCCAGTAGAATACAGATGTTAGTAGATACAACAGTACGGATTACAAATCACAAATTACGAAATTACGAATCAAACGATAATATTTACTGATGAACCAACTGTTCTACGCATAAGAAAAAAAAAATTAAGACTTTGATTTTTATAAATTATGCAAAATATTGCATCTACAAAACAAAAGAACCCACAAAATATTTAAAAACAAAAAAATTGGGAAACAATAATCGAGGGGACAGAGTTTTTGGGCTGGGAATTTGGGTACATTGCATACTATACTTATAAGTAAGGCAAACTTACCGCATCCTGAAAGTAAACGAAAAGAAAGGAATCAACGAAAGAAATCATAAAGAATTGTCGCAGTTTACATCAAGCCGACGGCAGTCTATTGAGATTCGGGTGTATCCATGGGATACGATTCGAGAAACCGACAAAAGCGACAAAATGCGAACGTAACTGACCCACACAATTAAGCTCCGCATAGAACCAAAGACTGTATATACATATAAGTATGAGTATATATATGTATATA